ATAATGTTCTTTTTAGCAACATCATATGACCCCTTTAAAGGAACTGCCCTTTAAAAACAGATCATTTCAGACAGAGGATCACATTGAGGGTTGAAAATAATCGTAACTGTGAAAATGAAAAACTACACTATGATCAGACAGATAAGCCTGAAGGATCAGTCATTTTGTAATTGAAAGGATCTGATATTTTGTGTTCAGACAGTGAGGTTATTTATGTGTACATGATGATATATGCATCAGCATGGCCGCAAGAGACGTAAGAGAGTAGAGGTAATTATATAAACAGAGCATGGAAAAATGCAAATTTTGCCTCTGCTTTCATTCATTCATTCATGATATCTTGCCACAATACTGAGCATATGTGTCAAAGTCATTACTGTATTTACACATTCACATGTCTGAAACAACTCACTTTTTGTCTCATTTAGCCAATAAAAACAAACATTTGAGCTCAAATATGTGAATTCAGAAACAATAAATGATACTACTTTTTGTTTATGATATTACAGTCATGGTGTGAATGATGAATAGCATTTTTTTGTTCAGGTACACTAACATTCAAATATTTGGGGTTGGTAAGGAAGGTGTTTCCCCTGTGGTGAAAATCAGGGGTTTAACATTGTTTACATGTCTGTTTTGGGTTTTCAATATGATTATAGACAGATCATGTGAAAATTTATCAGTCAACACCATTGCTGAGCATTTTCTCCTTAAAACCCCGGTTTTCCAAACACAGTCTCATAAGATGCAATCATAAGTCAATTGAAAGAGTTTATTTCTCGATTTTAGATAGAAAGATCAGAACAGCCCGTACATACACCCATAGACCCTCCTCTGAAAGAAATCAGGAAAGCAGTCAAAAGTGGTGGATTAAAAAAGCAGATGTAAATCATAAACGTGATCCGATCGACCAAAACGCATCTTAATACTAAATGTAAACAGGACCTTTGCCTCTAAACAGTGACTGAACACTTAAGATGCAGTGAAGAGGTTGTCTGCTAAAAGAAGTGATGGTTTTTCTTGCACGTTTTTTTTTTCCTTCAGACCTGCAGAAAGATGTTGGGTTTATTTTTCTGTCTGCTCTTTCTGACATCAGCGGCTACTGAAGGTACCACAGTTTTCATTTATAAATTACATCGATTGTTGTAAGTGGGATTCTGCTTGTCTATTGTAAAAGATGCATATATAGATTTTATGTGTTATTTTGGTTTTGTCTTGCAGTGGGTCTTGGTGGTAAAGTGCTTTTGTTTCCAACCAAGACTAACAGCAGCTTTGTTAAACTCACTCCTGAAAAGCCACTGAGTCTTTCAGCATTCACACTCTGCATGCGTGTCGCGACAGAGCTCCAGGTCACGAGGGACATCATTCTGTTCGCCTACCGCACATTTAACGTCGACGAGCTGAACCTGTGGAGAGAGGCTGGTGGTCATTTGTCCTTGTATATTCAGTCTAGTAGCAATGGAGCATTTTTCCTTCTGCCTCCTCTCTCCACCTTCCAGACTCACCTGTGTGTCACCTGGGACTCTGCGACTGGTCTCACTGCCTTCTGGGTGGATGGACGTCGTAGTTTATTCAAGATCTATAGAAAAGGTCTCTCAATCCGTCCTGGCGGCACCGTCCTGCTCGGCCAAGATGCTGATGCATATTTGAGCACCTTTGACGCAGAGCAGAGTTTTGTAGGAGAAATTACAGATGTGCAAATGTGGGACTATGTTCTCTCTGGCAGTC